AATGGACAGAAGATGGAGTTATAGATAAAACAAGAATGGCAGACTGTCAATAATTGTTGAAACTGAGTGTTGGGTACACAGGATACATTATACTATTCTGATTACTGATTACTTTGTGTAGGTTGGAATTTTCTACAACAATTTTTAAAGTTAAAATGTTTAAGGAATGTGTTATTGCCTATGATCCCCAGCTTTAGGCAACCTCTTCGATGAATGGACCAAACTCCCTGCTGCACAGATTCCCACGTGCTCTCCCCTGAGCTCTGGCATGGGGTCAGTGTGGGTAATCTTTTAAAACCATAGCTAGGACAGGGGACTACTCCTCTGTGCCACATATTCTAACACTTAAGAAACACCTGCCCTGTTTCATAAGTGATTCATGTATTGGTAGCTCATTAAAACACTAGGGGAAAGGTGAGATGGACGCAGAAAAACAAATGAACATGAATTTTGTTATCAGACAGAGATGGGGTCCAATCTCAGGTCTGGCATCTTTAATCTCTGTAACGAGACAATTTAATGTCCCTGAGCTTCCCTGTCCTTCCCAGCTTCCCATGTCCCTGTAAGGCAGGCAAAAATTATCTCACCATATTTGTTGCCTTTTTCCCCAGTCACAGAAGTCTTGAGATGTGTGTATGGTGTCACAAAATGCCAGCCCCCCTCGCGGGTAGGTGTGAGTGTATAACATAAGCTCTGCCTATGAGAAATAAAAAAAGAATGCATCATGTGACAGCTTCTAGGAATCTTCCTTAAAACAAAGCAGGCATACACTCTTTGCTCCTCTTTTATCACCTCCTTTTTCCATCTTGCAGCCTAAGTATGGATGTGATGGCTGGAGATGAGCCACCATCTTGGACACTGTAGGAACAGGGTAGTGGTAAGCAGGAGGGACCTGGGGACATAAAACTTCCTGGAGTAAAGCTGCCATTCCTGCCCTGGACTACCTAGGTATGGACTTTTATACAAAAAAGAAATTAATGTCTCCCTTTTCTAAGCCACTCTGGGAGTCTCTATTACACAATTACAAGTTTGCAACTGAACTTAAACCTAACTAATGCAATACCTACTTCGCCGTGTGCAGTGGTGAGTGAAAATGCCCATGTCTATAACATATATTAAGTATAGAAGGTAGTAGTAAGTAATTGTTCTCATTACACACCTGGAGTTACTGTCCTGTTGATTTTCTGTATCCGACTCTGGGTCTACTTACAAGTAACACAGAGTAGGCTTTGACACATGCTTGTGGGAGAGACACAGGGAAGTGCCCACTGCCTGGCTCAGACTCCCGCCTGTACCCTGTGCTTGCTGGGGGAGCCAGAGAAACGTTGAATACATCAGGGATGGTCCTCAGCAGATTGGGCCAGGAGAGAAAAGCTTGGAGGAAAGACCACCATTTTGGTTTTGTGGCTGTCCCAACAAAAAATCCCAACGGCACAGTGAACCTCATGAACTGGGAATGTGCCATTCCAGGACAGAAGGGGATTCCGTGGGAAGGAGGTTTGTTCCAGCTGCGGATGCTCTGCAAGGTTGATTGCCCATCCTCACCTCCAAAGCGTAAATTTGAACCACCCTGATTTCATCCCAATGTGTACCCTTTGGGCACCGTGTGCCTGTCCGTCCTGGAGGAGGACAAGGACTGGCGGCCGGCCATCACGATCAAACAGATCTTACCAGGAATACAGAAACTTCTAAATGAACCAAATACCCAAGACCCAGCACAAGCAGAGGCCCACACGATTTACTGCCCAAACAGAATAGACTAGCACAAGCTAAGAAGTTTGCACCCTCATAAGCAGTGACCTGTGGCATCGCAAAAAGGAAGGGATTGGTTTGGCAAGAACTTAACATTTTTGCAAATCTAAAGTTGCTTATACACTTACGAGTCACCTAGGAGAGGGTTCGGTGGGTGCCATCTCCCATTGCCGCTGCTGGGACACAATTCTCAATTCGCTGAATTGCCCAGTTTTTTATACAGGGTCTCTTCCTTCAGTCTTTGTATTTTTGATTATTATGTAAAACATGCTTTTATTTTAATATTGATGTCAGTATTTCAACTGCTGTAAAATGATCAACTCTTCTACTTGGGTAAGTCCCTGGAGCTAGTTTCCTTTTCTCTGATGCAGGCATGCTTCTCACCTGGTAGAGCTCACTTGGCTTCTGGTGGGCTGTATAGAAAAGAAAATCCCCCCTCCTGCCTTTGTTCTCTCTTCAGAATCTGGTTGTGTTGCTTTTGAGCCTCAGATCCAAAGCCAGCCAGCTTATTCCACATCACTTCCTTTGTGTTTATATGGCATTTTGTCTGTGTTGCTGTTTAGAGTAAATAAACTGTTTAGAGTAAAACCCAAATACTTGTGGGAGTGAATTGCATATATCACGCTCCAGTGTTTAACCACTTCGGTACCAGCGTTCACTTTAGCCGACAGCCATGATATGACTTTTCTAATTTTTCATTTATCCAAATAAAATTGTGAACATGTAAAATAATGTAATGAAAACATATATGTAGATGGTACCTATTCTGATTTACATTACAAGTAAAGCTTCCTGTAAAGTAAAACAAGCTTTCAGTGCTTTAAAGCTTTCCTCATCACACAAGAGCAAAACGGATCCGTCGTCAATGCACAGCACAGACTGTCGTGCGGACTGTGCGTGCCAGCTGTGGGCAAAGTTTCCTGGCCGGTGAGCACCGTGCTGAAGTGGTTAACGATGGAAGACATACTGGTTCAAAGGGGACTATTCAAAAGGGTTAATCATTTGACCAGACAGGATCTAACAATAATTCTAAAACCAAGAATGGAGGGATAAAAACAAAGGAATCTTGAAATGGGCACCCTCATAAACTATAGATAAAAGTTTCTCAACATTAGTACTGCTGACATTTTGGGCCAGATAATTCTGGGTTGGTGGGGGAAGGGGCTGTGCTCTGCATCCACTGCAGGATGTTTGGAAGCAACTCTGGCTTCTACCAATGACAGATGCCAGTAGCATTCTCTTTCCTTGAGTTGTGACAACCAAAAAATGTCTCCAGACATTGCAAAATGTCTCCTGGGGGACAAAATTGCTCCCCAGTTGAGAACTACTGCAAAAGATGGAGGTATAAATTTATACGACTTTTTTTAGAAACAAGTTGGTAATAAAAATAAGGAAGTTTAAAAATGTTGAGACATTTTTATCCAGAAATTCTACTCTGAGAAAATAATCAGTAATGTAAAGATGCACACACATCAAAAATTAAAAGATAAACAACCTTATTTAAAAGTGGTTGAAGGAGCCTGTAGTCCCAGCTACTCAGGAGGCTGAGGTAGGAGGATTCTTGAGCCCAGGAGTTTGAGATCAGCTTGGACAACATAGTGAGACCTCATCTCAAAGCAAAACAAAACAAAACAAAACAAAAACAGGTGAAGGCTCTAAGTATATATTTCCCCAAAGAATATATACAAACAGCCAATAGGTCCATGAAAAATGCTCAAAATCATTAGCCATCGGGGAAATGAAAATCAAAACCACAACCAGATACCACTTCACATCCACAAGTATAGCCATAATCAAAAAGGCATATAAATAACAAGTACTAGTAAGAATGTAGAGAAATTGGAACCCTCATATTCTGCTGATGATAACATAAAATGGTTCAGCCACTTTGAAAAACCGTCCGACAGTTTCTCAAAAGGTTAAACATAGAGTTACAAGATGACCCAGCAATTCCACTCCTAGGTATACACTCAAGAAAAATAAAAACATATATCTAACAAAACTTGTACACAAATGTTCAGAGCAGCATTACTCACAACAGCCCAAAACTGGAAACAACCTAAATGCTCATTAACTGATGAACCAACAAATAAATTTGAAATATTCATATGATAGGATAGTATTCAAAAATAAATAATAACAATAATGAACCTTGAAAGCATAATGTTAAGTCATTAAACAGGAAGCCACATGATATATGATTCCAGTCATGTTAAAAGTCCAGAGCAAGCAAGTCAATAGAGAGACAAAGGACATTTGTGGTCGCTTAGGTCTGTGATTGCTTAGGTTGCTTAGGGGGTGAAGTTGGGGGGGGTGGCATGGGGAATGATTGCTAACGGGTATGGTGTTTCTATGTGGGGTGGTGAAAATGTTCTAAAATTTCTCTAAAGTTGATTGTGATGATGGTTACACAACTCTGTGAATATACTAAAAACAATTGGATTGTATACTTTAAATGAATGAATTGTATACTATGTGAATTAATAAAGCCATTATAAAAAAACAGTTGAAACATCACCAACAAAAAAGATACACATACAGAAATGTATATTGTTACAAGTTATTTATAAGACTTTAAAAATCAGAAAACACCTAAATGCAAAGCAAAAAGGGATGGTAAAATAAATCATGTTCGGTCATATGGACAAGTATTAAGCAACCATTGTAAATCATCTTTTGAATAGTAATTAAAATCTTAAGGGAAGAGGCAGAATATAAAACCTGTACTTAGACTCACATGCAAACACACACACATAAAAAATTATAAAAGGAGTCTCTGTCCCATCTTGCAAGATGGTAGGTGGAAAAGTTAAGAAGCCAGATACTAAGGAGAAGAAACCTGAAACCAAGAAGGCAGTGGCTTCATGGCAAGGCTGAAAGGGGCAAACTCAAGGCTAAAGAGCCCCAGAAGGGGAAGCCCTGCTGCATGGGAAATCCTGTCCTTGTCAGAGGAATCAGCAGACATTCCCGATATTCCAGAAAGGTCATGTACAAGAGGAAGTCCTCAGCCGCTAAATCCAAGATTGAAAAGAACAAAAGGAAAAGGTTCTTGCCACTGTTACAAAACCATTGGTAGTGAAAAGAATGGTGATATTCAGGTGGTTAAACTTCGTAAAATGCCTAGATATTATCCTACCGAAGATGCGCCTTGAAAGCTGTTGAGCCGCGGCAAAAGCCCTCTGTCGGCATGGGAGCGCACTGCGAGCTGGCGTCCTTCCTGGGACCATCCTGACCATCCTCCCTGGATGCCACAAAGGCAAGAGGACGGTTTTCCTGAAGCAGCTGAACAGTGGCTTGTTACTTAGGACTGGACATCTGGTCCTCAATCGAGTTCCTCTGTGAAGAACACACCAGAAATCTGTCATTGCCACCAAAAAAACTGATATCAGCAATGTGAAGCTTCCAAAACATCATACTGATGCTTACTTCCCAAAGCAGCCGTGGAAGCCCAGACACCAGGAAGGTGAGATCTTCGACACAGAAAAAGAGAAATACGAGATGACAGAGCAGTACAAGATTGATCCAAGAGCTGTGGACTCCCAAATTTTACCAAAAAATCAAAGCTATTCCTCATCAGCTCCAGGGCTGCCTGCAGTCTGTGTTTACCCTGACAAGTGGAGCTTATCCTCACCAATTGTTATTCTAAATTTCTTACAAAGAACCTAATTAAATAACGTGGGAAAAAGTCATCAAAGGAAATCCACAATCAATGAAGAATGGTTAATTCTGGGTGATAGGAGAACTGATGATTTATATTTTCTTCTCTTTTTTCTATAGTTTTTATATTTCCTACACTGTGTATCTAATCAGGAAAATTTTTTTTTTGAAGATTAAAAAAAACAGTTTATTTCCACAACTTACTTGAGACTTACAGACTATAAGAGCTAAGTAGAAAAGGATAGATCATGTAGTAAGATCTAATTTGGGTGATGGGGTCACTGGAGCCCAAAGAGGCCAAGTGGCTTGGCCCATTATCAGTCATCTTGTCGGAGCCTGTGAAACTGAAACAGCTCCTCTCCTTCTGTGGCCTCCTTTTCTTTCTTAACAACCTCACCCCTCAGACAGACAGACACAGACAGACAAACAGACACACACACACGGGCAGCTTAAAAACATCTGAGGCATTTCTTTCCCAAATTGGCTTCTGTTCTAAAATTTCTATGGGATTAGGCAGGAAAGACCCAACACCTCTCTCAGATGAGTCAGGCCCAGCTGAGCCGAGCACAGTGGATAAGCCACAGTGAGGACAATCATCTTTTTTTGGTATCAGAAGCAGACGAATCTGACTGAAATCATGCTGGCCCTGGGGCGTGCGTCCTCAGCTTTCTCTGGCAAGGACTGGCTGAAGGAGCCTTTGAAGTGGGACACTCTGGTTCCCATCCACAAGAGCAAGGCAAGGACGAAACCCCAGGGAACCGCCCCAGCAACAGCTGCTGATGCTTCTCTGAGCAGCAGCCCATAATCACCTCATTTCCCTGCTCCCAGTGTTGTCCAAGGGCCTCTTCAGCCTTTGGCATCCTGGATAGCAGCACAGATGGGAGGCTGGAAGAACGCACAGGGAATGCATCTGTCCAAACAGTGGGCTTCTGATGCTGCTCCATCCCCTGGCTCCCAAGCCCTCCAAAGATAAAGAGAATCAGGCAAGAAACAAGAGCCCAGTGCGCCTCAGCAGAAACAAAAGGTCAGCGAGAGTTGGCAGGTCTCCCTGTTCCTGAATGACTCCCAGAGGATGGTGCATTGGAAAGTGGTCAGCGTTGACATTCAGACGTGCGGGCCTGGCCGCAGAAGCCTGATTCTTCCCCTTGTCTCTACGATATGGGAAAGTGAAAAATACAGAGTTGGAGGTATAGTGCTCACCCCTCAACCTTAATTTCAATTAAATAAACTTAGCCCAGACTGCAGGGCTCTTCTGTTGTGTTTTAGCCTAAGGATGTGGGCAAGAGATGACTCAAGTTCAAACCCCAGCACTGCCCCTCACTGGTCAGGTGAAACTGCACACGTTAGTTAACTCTTCTGTGCCTCGGTTTCCTCATCTGCAAAATGAAGGCTATAATAATAGTACCTACTTCTCAAGTCATTATGAGGCTTGACATAGTCCCTGACTGTGATTACTGTTCAACAAATGACAGCCGTTTTCTAATACTAGTGGGGATGGGGACAAAGATCTTCAAATACAGAGCTTTTCTGCCCTCATTTCATAAGTCAGTCCAGCCAACATCTGTGAGCCTTTACTGTGAAGAAATTCTCACTTACTTTAAAGACCTTCAAGAAGCTTATTGGATAACCATTCAAATCAACTGAGGATTAATATATTAGAAAAAAACCTAGTATCATACAAATAAAATTTATCTCTAAAAATCCATCTCAGGCTGTATAAACTGAAGTGCGTTCCTTTCTCCCCTAAGCTGCTAAATGTGGAAGTTCTTCCTCCAAGGCAAATTTACCAGGGTTTGATATAAAGGTTTTTAGAAACAAACTGTCTATACTTTTATAAGTTCCTCCAGCACTAGCTAAAAGGCCAAGTAATTCATAATTGATTGATGCTAGGACGAACACACATACTATGATTAATTGATTAATTAGTGCGGCACGCTGTATTTTCCAAAGACAGGCATGACGATATTGACCATTTCATTTGATACAAGAGGTAGGTTTGGCATCCCTCCCACTGAATGGCATGATGCTCTGTGACTTCCAGGGTTAAGTCATACAAGACAGTACAGCTTCTACCTAATTTTCTTTGGTATGCTCATTCTTGGAACCCAGCCACCATGCTTCAAGGAAGACCAAGCAGCCACTTAGAGAAGCCATGAACAGGTGTTCCCTGTGGCAGCCCCAGCTGGAGTGTGAGCCAACAACCCCCTCGATCACCAGACATGTAAGTAAGCAATCCTTCAAATGATTCTAGGACTAGCTAGACACACCACCCCATGTGTCTGCAGCACCCCAAGAGTTGAAGGCCTATAAAAACCTCATTTCTATAGTTATCAGCTCCTGCTTTACAGCAATGGGTTTTTGTTTGTTTTGTTTTGAAAAAGTGCTTTGATAATTTACTGTACAATTTTTTAAAGCTATCTATATGTTGACTTCTATATGCTCTTACATTTGTGTAAAACATTTATACATATTCTTTACAATTTGTGCATATATTAAATGGCTGTATCATAAACACTGCTCTATGGGATTTTATAAAATAAAAATCAAGTGGGGGAAATTACTTATAAAACATTAACAAAAACCCATTATATTGAAGAATAAGACGTTCCCATATTCATGTTCATTTGATTTCCTCATCTACTCACTTTTTAGTTTCATTTTATTTATGCTTCCCAGACTTTCCATTTTCTGTAATATAATTATTAGGTCAGAAAAATGAAAGCAGTAGGCAATAATGGGGTTAGGCCACTGTGGAAGAAGGAAATCCTCATCCACAGGAGTGAGACAGTGTGTCTGAGTGAGTGTTCAGATTTAAAGCTGACAGTATGTCAAGATCCTGTTTTGCTTTATGACATTAACTGAAGTGCTGTGCTTAGAAAAATTCTGTCTGAAGTTTAGACATAGGAAAAGCATCAGTCTGTACTTTCTCTTCAGCGTAAGAGCCCAGGGATTCTGCACACTGTTCAGGCTGTCACCCTTCTCTGTCCCTGAATTTTCCATTGGGGGATGGGAGCAGAGGTGCCAAACTGCTTTTTATCTTCTCTGACAACACCACTGGGCTGCTAGCCTACAATCCCAGTCAGGCAGGTGCCATGCTAGGACAAGCTCTTCTCTTAAGTCTGATGAACAGCTGAGGAATACAGAGGGGAAAGGTGCTGGGCCGCAGAGGGTGCTCCTTCCCCTAGAGTACCGATCTCCAACCTTTATGGCATCAGGGACCGGTTTCATGAAAGGCCATTTTTCCACGGGCAGGGGGGCAGAGCTCAGGTGGTGATGGGAGCAATAGAGAGCAGCTGTAAGTACAGACTAAGCTTCCCTGGATCTCCAACCGCTCACCTTCTGCTGTGCAGCCCCCCAGTTCCTAAGTTTCATGGAAGACAATTTTTTCACAGAAGGTTGTGGGGTGCAGAGCTCTGCAGCCCAGTCCCTAACGGGCCACATACTGGGGGTCGGGGACCACAGCCCTAAAGCACTCCTGCACACAGATACCGGAACAGCTACTCATCCCTGGGAGCAAGGACATAGAATTTTTTTAAAAGCCCCCAAATTTTTCTGACTTATACTTTCTGGCATAAAACATGCCTTAACCAAGATTAGGAAGGAGGTATGAAGAGAAAGCATTGGTCCTCATGTGAAAGCAACACATCAGAAATGACCCCAAGGGCAGTAGGTGGGCAGGTTGACCTGAGCATCTGTCAAGCTACATCCCCTGACAGGACATGTGACAGCCCACCTGCCACACACCATGAGGGCACGAGCAGCCCCAAGAGCCCCCTGCTTCTTCCCTCCTGAAATGTAAGCACTTGAGTCATAACTGTGTTAATGGAAGGTATGCAGATCTCCCTAAATGGACAGGGACCCCGGAGGTCTGAAAAGAGGTATAAAAATATACAAACATGTATATACATATATTTTATTCTGACATATTTCCTATTTTTGAGAAAGCAATTAGTAATTAATTATCTGACCTTGGGTGAGAATGTGAAGATTGTAGGTGACTTATATAAATTAAGGTTCTATGTATCAGTGGGAGAAAACCCCTAATTTTCCATTCAAAATTCTGATAACTTTAAGTACTTCCCAAAAATAGAGACAATTTCCATTTAAATAATGGAAATAATGGGTATGGAAAAGAACAAAAGAAGACAATCCCTAGTAAGGGATGACTTTAGGCTGGTTAATAAAATAAATGCAGTCTTTTTGCAACTCTTCTTTTTGGTTTTCTTTATTTCCTTTTTATTTTTTTCCTTTGTGATAACAGAGGGGGGGAAATCCATTTTGAATTGCATTGCCAAGTCAGAAAGAAGCACTTTGGAATTTTCTTCATATTGTGTTTTATTCTGTTCTGCATAACCAGAAATCAGCTGAGGGGCTGCCTCAGCTTTTCTGTAATTGTTTGGTAAAAGTGCACTTGCTGCTCCAAGTACAGGCAATGATGCTGTTGTAATCACAGATTACTGCGGAAGTCATTCATCTCAGCTTGCGATGCGTAAGACATGGTGCTGACTAGTTCCACCATGTTCTGTTTGTCTTGTGGGATGATTTTGCTAGTTGCAACTAGTTTATCACTTTCTTTCACTTTTTCTATTGCTCCCTTGTGGATGCCAATGATATCAGGGAAGCAGCCAAGAAAACCTGTACACTCACGATTACATTCCATTGGGAAATGGAGATCTTTCTTTGGCTGTTCTGCCAAGAGACTGGCAATTTCTTCCTAAGTCTTCCTGCTTCTGTTACTGCATCACTGAGATCTGTTTCATCTTGATAGTCACTAGAACTAAACACTTTCGCTGAACTCTGTAAGGCCTTTCCTACCTTCTGATATTCCTTGGGAAATGGCCCTGCACGCCACTTCCAGTGCTCCTGTCCCACAGTCAGCAGCACCTTCAGGCCATCACCCATGGCCTTGGGGAACTTCCCCACAGCATGGCTCTTCCGCCCTGTTTCTATTAGGTCCAAGTCAGGTGCCTCTGGCTCCATGGTGGAAAATATCAGACCTCCTGCCAGCTCATCTTTCTCAGCCTTTCTCTTTCCAGTTTTCCACTCCTTCTCATCTCGGAAATTCAGGAACTGCTGGAAAACCTCCCTTTCTGAGATGACGAGATGCTGACACATTCTGGTCACCCAGGCCTGAAGTCTCTCCATGTGCATTTTGATGAATTCCTCTTCAAAGCAGCCTGTGACTTGTTTGTCACAGGAGAGAAAGGATTGGAATGGCTGATCCAAACTTAACCAGGAGATGCTCCTATAACCAAAGTCATTACCTGTGGTTTATATATGGACTCGTATTAGCAGGTGTTAGCTCTTCAGACCACACACTTTGGAGCCTTTCCTGGGATCAGCCACCACACAGTGAAATGCAGAGTTAGGATAAATCCACACTGGGCCATAATCTCCAACAATAACGGGAAATTTTTTCTTTGGGTTTTGCTAGTTGTTTGACCAACAAGTACTGTTCCGTTCCAGGTTTTGCAAATCCAGGAAAGTTGTTAAGTGGTAGCTTCATGGAAGATGCACCAACTCGACTGTTCCTTGCTGACCGTCTCCTGCTTCAGCTGATTCTGAATCCTTAAAGTAACGAGAGGAGGACTAAGGGTCATCCCAGACTTCATCCCAGTCATCAGCATCACCAGTTGCTGGGCCTTGGTAGGTCTCTGGGTGGCCAAAGGCAGTGTCCCAGTCGTTGGGAGTGTTTTTTGGGTGCCAGCCCCCTCTGGCATGGCCCCCTAACCACCTGGGCTCTCCCAGTTCCCAGATTGGGAGGTGTTCCAGGCTGAGCAGGGCCATCGCCACAGCCCACCTGATTATTGCTATGGGCAGCTGACGCATTGGCTTGAGCTGCACTTACTGACAGGGATTTAAGGAAGGCTTGATGAGCCACTGAGTTTCCACAAGAAAACGGATCTTTTCTATCATTGGGTAAATTTCCACATAGTCTGTGGGAACAAGCCCTCCTTCTCCTTTGCTGTTTCTTCCTTCCAGCCACCCTCCACCAACGTCCGCATTTATAATTGTGATGACTTCTTCATTAACCGTCAGTTCATTATTTCCAGGTTAGGCAGCAAAATCATACATAAAGCTAGCCTTGGTGGCCATAGCGGGTGGGTCCCAGAGCCAGGAGGGCGAGGATAAGGGCGACTCCAGCCGCCATCTTCCACAGTTCCTGAAAGTCCGCGGCTGCTCGGGGCCCTGCCTGCCCAGTCTCTCATTTCCCGAGGCGTGGCGTCCCGGCCCTTGGGCACAGTCCAGCCTCCACGACCCCTGGCTGCCCCCGGCCGCTGCGGCCACCTGCCACCTCCCCCTACCTCGCCCTTGGATCACTGACCACTGCCCTAGTGGCACCAGGGTCAGGACTGGCACTCCAGGGATAACGTTCAGTGGTGCAGAGAGCCACTCGGTTTTTAAACTATTTTTAATAACATATCCTTGCATGGGTTTGTTTTTATAGTCTTATTAGAACCCCAAATATAAATGACATACATAAAGCTGGTGCTGCATTCATTGAAATGGGGGGGGGGATGTGAGACCAGAAATGGGCCTGCTGTACCTGCTGCCCAGTGCCTCCGAGGAACCCAGTTTGAGAACCAGTGAGCCCTCCAGGACTACAGAAATCTTGAAAGAAATCTAGCAACCTCGGATATTCTTTCAAGTTTCGACTTTTACAAACACAGCTATAAAAGTAGTTTACTAGGTTGGGTGTGGTGGCTCACGCCTGTCTTCCCAGCACTTTGAGAGGCTGAGGTGGAAGAATTGTTTGAAGCTAGGAGTTTGAGACCAGCCTGGGCAATAGTAAGATCCCCATCTCTACAAAATATAGAAAAATTAGCCAAGCGTGGTGACGCGCACCTATAATCCCTGCTATTCAGAGGGGGAGGCGCAAGATAGCTTGAGCCTAGTAGTGGGAGGTTGCAGTGAGCCATGATGATGCCACTGCATTCCAGCCTGGGCGACAGAGCGAGACCCTGTTTCAAAACAACAACAACACAACAAAAGTAGCTTAGTAGGTATAATTGTTCTCAATATTCCAAGAATCAGAAGTTTCATCTCACCACGGTTACATAATAAGCCCACGATAGAAATTCTTCCAATTTTACTCATAGACACCTTCATCTCCTCACACACCAAACCCTAAAACCCCATGACACAACACATGGTTTTACAGCACAGCTTTCCCAAACACCTCCAGATTCAAGTAAAATGGCAAAAAATGTGTATGCTAAGTCTCTGTGGCACCATCCCCCTCCGGCTGAAGGGTGCTGGTCTGCTCCTCCGGCCCTCTTCAGCCATGTGGAACTGGGGAAGAAGAACCACGCTGGATTCCACGAGGGGCCCTAGACCACGGCTACCTGGCCTTGGCGTTCCGCTTCAGGTAATCCGTGTAGCATGTCAGGAGCAGCCTTTGGAAGGCGCCGCTGTAGAAGACCCAGGCGGGGATCAGGCTCAGAAAGCCCGCCTTCAACAGACAGAAAACGAGAGTGTCTGGGAGGAAAGAAGAGCATGGAGGGTCTGCAACTCAAGCACCTCAGTTCATATTCATGGTCTTTGAAAATAGCTTTTTCTGACTACTGAAATGATTGTCTCAAAATCTTTTAAGTAACTGCTGAAGTTTAAGGATCTTATGACACTCTCAACACATGAGGTTTTCTCAGACATCAAACCTTTAAACTCCTTTGACACCCTCATAGCATCAGCTGTAAGGAAATTCTTTTTTTGAGACAGAGTCTTGCTCTGTTGCCCCAGGTAGACTGCAGTGGTATCCTCATAGCTCACTGTAACCTCCAACTTCTGGGCTCAAGAGATCCTCCTGCCTCAGCCTTCAGAGTAGCTGGGACTACAGGCAGGTGCCACCATGCCCAGCTAATTTTTTTCTATTTTTTTAATAGAGATGGGGTCTCACTTTTGCCCAGGCTGGTCTCAAACTCAAGCCCAAACAACCCTCCTGCCTCGGCCTCCCAGAGTGCTAGGATTACAGGTGTGAGTCACCATGCCCACCCAAGAAAATAAAGATCTTATATTCTTTCTGCATGTCCACTTTATAGTGTGGGTTAAGTTGGTGATTCTGCACATTGTTAAGGCGATTCTGCATGTTGTCGAGGTTCTACAGTGAAAATAGCAAGTAATAATGTGAGAAAGTTCAATATCTCTTGGTAGAGTCTTTGTGAGTCCCAAGAGCTAAAGGAATGCTTTGGGAGACTTTAGGGCATTGATCATGAATCCTTCTAGCATCCATGAAAAAGAAAGAGAAGGAGAGAGGGGAGAGAAAGGGAGAGAGAGAAAGAGGAGAGAGGAAGAGAGAAGAGATAGGAGAGGGTGGGAAGGAGGTCTAATTCCCACTGTAGAAAAGCCTATAAGGTAGGGAAGAAAGCCAACAGGTGATGGGTAAGTGAGGAAAATCTATCTAAAATTTTTGTGTGGGGGCTGAGAACAGAACTACACTGACATTGTGTTTGTTTCAGTATGTGCGTGGAAATCCTCCAGTCTACCTTTGTTTCATGTTGGTGTTTGTTTTAAAAGCAGCCCAGGAAAGGTGAGAACTTCTTGCGCCATATGCCACCAAACCTTATTTCCACATTTGGTGGAGTCCGTGGAAATGAAGCTGGCTGGGACTTGCTCACAGAGCCCGTCATGCGCACTCCTCCCTCCTCAATTCACGTGCACTGACATGTTGGTAGCTTAAAATCATCCATGGTGGGAGGATTTACACCATGGAAATCAGGAAATGCTGGTTCGTAAATTAAAGAGGTTTGATTTGGTTTGGTTTTTTTTTCCCCTGGAGGGCTGGTCATTAAACATTTACTAGAACTTAGGGCCAAGGAAGACAGCAGCCCCCACAAGGAAGCTCCAGGTGCCCGTCTTCCCTGCCCAAGAGCTCCTGGGAGCCACCTTCCTTTCTGAGTGGAGGAGTGAGGCAGCCAAGCATGAGACTTGACAGCTTCGTGTTACTCTCGGGCTGAGCACCCAGGACTCCAGCTTCTCCCCCCTCGCTACGTACATGTTACTGCTTGGTGTCAACCATTCCTGCCATGAGAGAGTCGCTGAGCACCCCAACAGCAAGGAGGAACTAGCCAGGCCCTGCTAGGACCACCTGCACTCCCTCCCTCCCTTGCTTCAAGAACAGAAGTTGTTCTCAATTACCAAGATTTCATGGGCAAGGCAGCCACAGGTCTCATCTCCAATCGTGACATAGTTCAGTGATTCTTTAACGAACTCCTCGGCGGTCTTGGTTATCGCGTTGGTGTTTAGATGCTGGGTCATTGCCGTCGAAACAGCATATGGAGTCAGCACCTAAAATGGGAAATAAAGACCACAGCACAGGAAACAGACCTGAGAGATCAACACCCATTCTACCATCCCACCATTTCCCAACTCTTCCCTTCCTGTAAAAAGTCTTGAGATCCTAAGTGGTAAAAGACACAGAACTGGCTCAGAGCTGGAAGTCGGAAAGTTTGGTTTCTCAAGACGAGACTTCAACCACCCAACACCAGATGGCCCAAATGCCCTCCCCAGCCCACAGGGCAACTGAGAGGACATAAGCTGTCTCAGAACAAAGTTGCAAGACTTAGCAAATAAAAATGCAGGAAAAAGGACATCCAGATAAATTTGTAGTTTAAACAATGAAAAAACTTTCAGCATCATTATGTCCTAAGTATTGCATGGAACAGACTCATATTAAAAACGATTTGTATGCTCTGGTTTCTCTTCAGAACAAACAAATCTTTCAACTTTTACTAAAAACTATTCGTACTCATCTGAAATTCCAGCTTAACTGATGTCCGGTATTTAATCTGGCAACTCTATCTCAGAAGTTTATTTCTAATACATGTATCTAAAATTGGAGCAACTTAAAGTATGTTGGAGTCTCACTTTCACAATTCAGTTAGGAACCAAGAGTGGTACATACCTCATAATCTTTTTCTGTGCAGTAAGAAAAATAAATAACCACACATTGTGCCTTAAAAATCCAACATCATGTTTCCACCTGTGGTCTAACTACATTGTGGCCCTGGCATGAGGATTTATAATAGGCTTTTATTACCTCATTCCCAGACACAAAGACCTGGGCATTTTTAGAGAAAAAAAAATATTCATGGTATTAATTGTTTTCTTGGTTTTATTTTTCTTCACATCACATTTGAAATTACATTGTTTCATAATTGAATTCAATTATGAGCCAATTAATCCAATTGATTATTATGGAAATGAATGCTGTGGTTCATATGCGTAACACTTTTCTTTGAGTCTCTCAAAGAGTTACTCTTTGAGAAATATAAGGAGTGTGCATTCTCAACTATGGTTTCCAGATAGGGAAATAATGATAAGTATTTTCATTCCTATGTAAGTCATGATTGACAGTACAAAATAGGGGCTCAATAAATCTTGTTTAAACTTGTATACTTATTTATTCATTAGATCTTCACTACAACCCAGAGAGGTATACAAGTATTATAAACTTCTTTTATGGATGGGAAAACTGAGGCACACAGAGTTTAAGCAGGCTGTCTGAGACCACTCAGATGAAATTCAAACCCAAGTCTATAGTACATACTTCCTCATTCATTTAATAAATATTTGTTGTGCACCAATTGCGTGTGCATTTGGAGAGGCCACTAGGTTTTTGAAAGGTCACAGTCTTTTTCACTTTCTCATACTTGCTGGGTGGCCCACAATGGTCAAGAGCAAGATAACACTAAGAGTGCCCCATGGCTAGAATAGCTGGTAGCTGTGGTAATCATTCATGTTTAGAAATCACCAAGTATTTCTGTTTTTCTTCTTCCAGGCACATGATAGAATTGTACTTCCTGAACCCCTATGGCAAGGTTGGACCATGTAACCACATCTGGCCAATGAGTTATGAGCAGAAGTGACATGTCATTTCAGGGCCAGAGTACTCAATTGTCAAAGCAAGACCCTCTAGAACTCCTCCTTCTTCTTGGTGTCAACTGACAATAATAAGCAGGATGGCAGCTTCTCCATCAGCCCAGGTCCCTGCATCACTGCAACAAGCTAATATCTCCTGCCAGTTCACAGTGAATGTATAGCATGAATGCAAAATGAGACTTTGTTGTTTTAAGCTACTGAAATTTTAGGGGTTACTTTTTACTGCAGCAAACTTAACCTGTACCCAGTAGCACTGCTGCAAAAGGGAAGTTCCAACTTCAGCTGAAGTTGGAGAATGGAAAACAGCATGGAAGGGGGAAGAAATCTCTGATGGGTGAGACTGGTTTAGCAGGGCAGAGACAGGGACTGTGGCACGATGATATGGCTGTTACAGTCACCCACAAGGCTGGGAAAATGATGTTATTGGCCAAATTCCTACCATTAACTCATCTCTACCTATTTAATAAGCTTTATCCTGTAGCTGGTTAGTTTATAGTAACAGCCACCTAAAATACTTTTCCACCTGGGCATTTTAATCAAAAACCAATGTATGTAGCAGTAATTTTAAAGATATAACTTTGTGTCTTTTTCATTTCTTATAGTATATCGTAACACTTTTTCCCAAACAACAATAAAAAAAACCAAAAACCTCTGTTTATTCTAGGTTTCAGACTTCACTTAACTCTAACTCTGTGACTAAACCAAGCACAAGTAAATCACTTCAGAACATCACATTGCTCAGCCTACAGACAAGCCAGCTCTAATTAGGTGGGGACAGGTGATCTCCATGGTGGCTCTGCCATTGTAGCTGGAAGGGGAAACAGAGCACCCCTTCCCCAACTGCCCAGGAACCAGGGTGTGGGGATCTCTGTGGGCCATCACAGATCAACAGCCCCCAGGGGAAAACTCCTTCCCAGCTACCTGCCCTTCCCCTTTCCAACATGGACCACCTGCCCAGTTTTGTTTTGTTTTGTTTGTTTCTTCTCCACAACTCCTCCCACATAAGCCTGTGTGCCGTACCTAGGGCAGAGAGGAAAAGGCAAGACCCCAATTTCCATTTTGATCCAGCATCAGGTAGCAAGAGGGTCCGCAGCATTTCTCAGCACTGGGCATGGGGGAGGCCAGTAGACGCCACAGCAGCAGGCAGGACCAAGGTGGCTGCAGCTGCCCTGGCAACTGTCACAGGAATCTACACACCGTCACCCAGCCCCTCTCCCTGCTGGCCACACATGCACAGCCAGTCTTTCTGGAGGCAGTGGCCCCGGCTCCAGGGGGTCCAGAGTGCCCGTTCCCGAGGACACACAACTGCCCACCTCACCTGGATGATGATCCCTTTTGCTTTATACTCCACTTGCAGTGCCTTGGAAAACGTGCACACAAAAGCCTGGAGCAAGAAGAAGAAACACCTAAGGCCCCAGAGTTTGCTTTCTTGTCACAACCAGCTCTCTCAGATTTCAGGGGGCACCGCAGAGGCACTACCTGCTTCCTGCTTTACCTTTATAATACAGTGGGGAGCTGTGAATCGAAGGGACAAAGTTACCCTTCGTAGGATGGATAAGTTCTGGAGAGCTACTGCACAGCATGCGACGATAGCTAACAATCATGTGTCGTCTGCTTGAAAATGACTAAGACGGCAGACCTTAAATGTTCTCACCACACACTAAAAAGTAAGTATGTTAAGTCACGGATATGTTAATTTGTTTGAATCAATCAATTCACAGTGTACACATATATCAAAATATCACATCGTACACTGTCAATATATAAGATTTTTATTTGTCAAAGATGCCCTAATAAAGCAGTGTGGGGAGAGGAAAGATGGTAGGGGGACAGCTTGTCTTGGTGGGAATCGGCGCTTCATTTCTCTGTCTGGGGAGAGCCCCTTCCCTCAGTGGGAAGACACATTTGGGGATAGATATATCCCTAGGCCACTGCATACAGAGTAGCCTACTGGGGAAGGGCTTCCTAGTAGAGTGCTCTCTCCTCCTAGGGTTGTTTTATAACTAGGGCAAAGGACAGCCCACGAGGCCTCCAGGTCAGGGAGGAAGCTTCAGTGTTACTTGTCAGCAGGAAGAGTGACACCCCCAGCCCGGCAGGTGAGTAGGGACGAATCTCGCCCTGCCAGGCTGAGCGGCAGCCGGGCTCCATGCGGCCAGAGGGGGCATCTTGCCCTAATCCGTACCCGGACTCCCTGCACATAGAAGGGCGCCTGCCACAAACCTCCCCATCAACTTGCCAGGTGATCCAAAGAAAAGTGCCAACTGGAAAAAATAAGAGGAAGAAGGAAGAGACTTGGGCCGCATGATATCACTCACCTTAGAAGCCGAGTACATGGTGTACAGTGGCCAAGGAAAGAGGGCTACCCCGGAAGAAATGTTCAGGATGAGACCTTTCCGCCTAAAAGGCAAAGAAGCAAAGTTTCCATTGCTTTGCTGCCAATCCCACTTTGGGTAGAAAGAAAATATGTGCATGCTGTCAAACTCCGCCCTCCGGGCTTCCACGCAAGCTAGCGCTCTGCTTCCAAGAACTGAGTGGAACTTCTGATGCGTTCCGCAAGAGGACACCACACAGTGATGTCTCTTGGCAGTCCTGTGACATCAAGGGCATGTTCCTGGAAACAGAGGCTTTGCTACACCAAAGGTCTCCCAGCCAAAATGCCAGATAACCAGCTCAGCTCAGACAGGATTTAAGGGGGAAGAGATCCTCCTCCCTTAAATGTGACCACATGAGCTGCAGGTCCCTTCAGACTCACAAAGATGACCCACAGCAGGACAGATGTCATATGGTGGAATCCTGTCGTGGGTAGAATTTGACAGACCAGCATCTGCTCACACAGACACCCCCTATACACGTCTCCAGGGGCCTTACTTTTCCTTTTGAAATTCAATATCCTTAATCCTTCCCAATTAGATGGTTTCAGTGTGGGGGGAGGGGTGTGCAAATTAGAATAGAGGCCAAGCCCCTTCTTCCTCTAGGGAAGATAAAACTATCAACCATTTGCTTTTAATGAATACCACCTGAGCTCCCAAATGGGCCTTGTAATAGGGTGACATAAACATGGAATAAATGGAGAAACTGATACAGTGGCGATTTTTACCACTAAATTGGAGTATTCATTCTGACAAAAGCTGAAATTCATAATATCAATGAGATGGTCTTGGTCTCAGGCCAGCTTCTGAAGTTTTCTTTTATGCTCAACATGAGTTAATTTTTTTTTTTTTAATCCAGTGTATGCTGAAGCTGCTGTTCTCTTCCTCCCTCCAATAACTGTTACATTTGACCTTCAAATATGCAGGTCTATTTGCTGAGCTGGCCTGGCCCAGAATGTTACTTTTTTCCCCATAATCTCCATGTCCTTTCATCTTACATCCTTTGTCAAAGCAGCAGCCAAAAGAACCCCATCTCCCCAGTCCCCGAGTTAGCTGACTGCTGGGCAGGGAGGCCGTGCTGCTCCACGCTTTTCCAAAGGAAGACCTTACCTGGATTCCATGTGTTTCAGAATTAGCTGTGTCATCTATAAGAGAAGGCCAAAGTTAAGCCCTGATCAAGGAACTAAGTGGCAATGGGCAGGCACTTAGAGAAGCAAGTGCTGAGGGGGGAGCTGGGGGGAGACAGCTTAATCTTCTCAGATGGCCTCAAAAATTGCCAATACTCATTGGAGGTGGTTCTGGCAACCCCAGAGTCTGGCTGGAACCCATAGGAGGCAGCCTAGACAGATGGCAAACTGTTCAGAGGCCTTTAGACTCTTCCCCTTGAAGCTAAAGTCTTCCTGGGAAATGGGGGCAGTGGAAATTTGTGGGAATTGGCTTACGGCTATAGGATCCACACTGAGGTTCCCAAAATGGTCTTTATTCTGTGTGACAGGCAAAAGGAGTCTGGCCATGAGTCGGAACTGGGGGACTATCCGGAAGCCGAACAAAAAGCTACGAGCATCTCGTGTACGAGGCATGAGGCAGAGAAAGACATCTCTCCAGTTCACTGCAGCAGCACATGCAACCGGCAGGTGGGCTGCGAAACAGCTCGTGGACAGAGCATGTGGCCAAGCCTGCCCATCAGAATCACAGCACAGTTGAGAAGCCCCTTCCCTCCCAGCCTACCGCACCTTGAAAAGGTCTTCTCTAACACTTCTGGGCCTAAATATCCCTCTAAAAGAGCTTTACGTTCCAGAATTACAAGGCACACATTTTATGAATGAAGAAGAGGCAGGCCGGGTGCAGTGTCTCACACCTATAATCCTGGCACTCTGGGAGGCCTAGGTGTGTGGATCATTTGAACTCAGGAGTTCGAGACCAGCCTGAGCAAGAGCAAGACTCCCGTCTCTACTAGAAATAGAAAGAAATTAGCTGGACAACTAAAAATATATAGAAAAAATTAGCTGGCCATGGTGGCGCATGCCTGTAATCCCAGCCACTCGGGAGGCTGAAGCAGGAGGATTGCTTGAGCCCAGGAGTTTGAGGTTGCTGTGAGCTAGGCTGACACCACAGCACTCTAGCCCAGGCAACAGAGTAAGACTCTGTCTCAAAAAAATAAAAAATAAAAAAAAAGCAGCAGCAGCAGCAATCCCATGGACTGAAGTGTTCTCTGAAGCATGACTGACTGGGGCCAGGCCTTGTCGTAGGCGCAGGTTTGAGACAGGGGATCCAAATGGAAGGAGAGGGGCAGAGGGATAGAGGAGACTCAGGACAAGAAGACAAATGTGGCCCATTTCTCCCTGTCATCTAGGGGCTCTGCAGTGGCTTCACAGCAGGCTGTGTCCCTGCCCCTGCTCCATCTCATAGGCTGGACCCTGGGCCTGGCTCAGAGAGCCTCCAGGTAATGTTTTTACTGCTGGGGAGCTCAGGAGGCCTTGGGGTGTGGCATTCTCTAGAACCCACTGGACTGCCTCTGAAACACTGGATTTTGAGGGAGGCAAGGGAAGCGTGAGGGACTAGATTGTGTCCGTGCCCTTTCCTGACTAACTTCTTTTGGGGTATTCTTTGAACCCTGTCACACAGCATTTCCTCAAAGTCTCCCTAGTGAATTCAGTTGCCTTGTTGGGTGAATGATCCAATCAGAGAGACAATGTTGAATTTTGTGGGTCCCTGTCTCCACAATATTTAGTTTCTTATCCCACCTTCTCTTTGCCCTCAAACTCATCTTCTCCCATCTCTGCCCTTGATAGAGGGAAGACTCTACTGCTTCCAGATGGCTCCTTTGAAATAATTAAGTGACGTTAATCATGCTTCCAACCAGTGTGGCTAATTGGGGCATGGCATACTTAGAAGCTAACCTTCAGTTTATTTTCTTTGTTACTTAGGGAACTTAGTGTCTACCGATATATAATTTTTTTTTTAACAAAATCAAAGCATTTCTCCGCTAAAGGAGTCAGAGGGTTGTCAAATACATTTGGTAAACTCCCATGATCAAACAGCCCAAGACTGAAAGATCAACATGTAAAATAACGTGAAAGATTTTAGTGGTGAGGCTGCAGACAACAGTTGGACATATAAAACTTAAAATTACATCAGCTGGGGCCTTTAAAAAGCCATGGATTGCTCAGCGTAAAAAGAATGTGTGTTTGTGTGCCCAATAATAACTGAGCAGGAAACTATAAAATGCCAGCATGCTTATAGAAAAACAACCAATGGTGAAAATAATTGTTGTCAGCCCAACTTATACACTTGAGAAAAAGAATCGGGTTTTTGGGGGGTCTATGCAGCATTCATTTCCCTGCCTTATGTTGGTAGTAACCTGATCTCCTTTGGGAAGTCAGTCCTCCTCCACTGCCAGATGAGTGACACTGAGCCTCCCCCTACTCTCCAACCAGCGCCCCAGCTCCTTGAAATCAGGATCAGGCCTTACTCATGGCTGCAGCTCCACTGACCTTCCAGAGTGGTCACTGGGGCTGCTATGTACAATTGTAAATTTTGTGTACTGCCCAAGGTGGCTGGGACTGGGGTGAGTACAGGCTGAAAGCTCAGGGCCCACTCAAAAGCCATGTACCTAGCAGAGGTGGGGGACTCTATTCCTTCGGAGGAAGGGAAAACATTCTATTCCCATGAAAGTGTCATCTACTCACCAAATCATGCAGCCTCAGGCTGTGTTCATTCTTAAATGACACCTTTTTCTAAACTGTCTGCCAGAGGAGGTGGCCTTTTTCCAAAGGCACAGTATAGGATAGCTTTGAGGGAGTCATGATACAAATGCTTGTGCAGCTGATCCTGACTTCTGAATGGCACCTAAGACATCATGGTCTTTTGATAACAGACACAGAATCTGAAGCTCAAGGGAATTACATAACTTTCTCAGTGCTAACCATTAGTAGTTGAGCTGGGATCATAATACAGATGAACTTGAGTTTCAAATCAACAAATATTTACTGAACAGTAAAAGTCCAGAAAATCCAAGCCATGCCCTCTGTCATTTTCCCAGAGTGAGCTTTCTTGTATTTACAAAAACTGAAACTAGAGGAAGATATTAATTTTTTTTTAAGTTGCCTTTGAATCCTGAATAAGTTTCAGGATTATCAAGCCTAATATGTCCTGACATGAGACAAAACTGAATGCAGAAATAGGATTCAGATATGAGGGAGAGTGAATCCATCACTGTATTTTCTTGATGAAAACAGAATAAGACAACTAAAAGACCACTACATGGCCTCTCAAGTGAGGTTCAATTTCAAAGAATCCTGCTTCTATGGTGGGAGGGTGCAATTCTCCTGACTTCCCAAATTCCAACCACTACTACATCTTAATGCTTTCAGCACATATATGGATCACATACCTTGACTACTGAGGTGATGTTACAGTGGATGAGGTTCTGTAATAAGTAATCACAACCACAAGTCAGCCCGATCACTGGAGAAATTATCCTGAGAATTAATCAGTGCTCAATAACCATGAAGTGGGCAAAAGTACACATCTAAGCAGGTCTATCACTCAGCCTGCAAATTAAGCTCCTAATTGATGTTCCAGCAAGTATGCACTAGAATTGGGAAACATCTGACATCCATTCTATGATTCTGTATGCATGTGATCTTGAATAGGAGTCAGTTAAGAGTTTCCTTGAAAACTAAGGGAGCAATATAGATACAATATTTCAAAGAAAGATATTCAATTTCTAGTGGGAGAAAGAGAGGTTAGCCTATGTGGGTCTAGGACAAAGTATCATAGAGAATAGAAAGATGAATGGTTCGCATAACACAAGGTAGAGGCTCTGGGCCATGGAGGCCAGGTAAATAAACTACTAGAATCATACAACAGGCGAGGAAAGAGGGACAGACACATGCATAAGCACAAATGCAAACATAAACAGAGAAGGAGGAGCAATTGTAGAACTTGCTTAATGGAGAGATAGACTTGTGCCAGAAACAGGGAGTGTGGAAAACAGAGACTGCAGGGGTAGATATGTTGTCCCAAAGAGGAGTCTGGAGAGGATGGGCAGCAACCTCCCAGCAATCTGGCATTATATACCAATGCAGTTGACTCAGGACTTCAACAGACCCACAGGAAAACCTGCAGAGCTGGGGAATGGAAGCACGATGGCCTTCTCAGATTGGTATAACTCCTGAATTCATGGGTCAGGGACGGGGGAAGGGTCAACCAATAGTGCCTGTAAGGACTGTAAAATGCATAAAAAATTTACTCACAACCAACAATGGCAGCCATGAGTCTGTGCCCAACTCATCGAATTTAAAACACCCCCAACCATAGAGATTGTGTCATGTACTGCCCTCACATTGAAAGCTGACAGATCTGATTACCTGGGACGACAGAGATAGCCAAAGAACTGGCCTTATGCCAAGGGCAACCACAGCTATAAATCGGTTATGCAAAACTACCCCTTTGTAAAGCAAAGCATAGAGCCCCAAAAGGATAGGGCAGTGGGCAGGTGAGTTTTGATGTGCAGAGAAGGGGGAAGATATCTGTGCCCTGGAGATGATCATGAAAAGTGGTGGTACACTTAACTATGTGCTAAGGTGAAAAGACAGAGGGAGCTCAAGACAGACACTGCAATACAGAGTTTTGGCCAGACAGGCTTCCTACCACTCCTTCCCAGGCCCTGCTGATCATGCAGCCAGAGGGCCCAGTCCCCAGTGAGAGGAATCCGTACACAGAAGGCCACAGGTTTACCTGGATTTCGTCCGGTGCATTAAGGAAATAGCTTGGGAAAAGGTTTGGAAGCATTCCAACATTGTTGACTGGCAGAAAGAGGCAAAACAAAATGTGTCAGAGGAACAGGTGGGAAATTTTCCCAAAAGGGGGTGCAAAAAGATTTATATATAAGGTTGTTCACTGCAGCATGATTTGATAACAGTAAAGAAACTGGAGGGAAAAAATGTCCACTAATAGGAGACACCTTAAAAGATTATAATGTAGTCATATGTTGGAATGGAATGTAATCATTAAAAACCATGGCTGCTTAGAATTTTACGGACATGGGAAAATATTTGTGATATAAGTTTTTTAAAAATATATATTGCAAAACAGCACATATATATAATTCCAGTTTTGAAATTACATGTGTATGTACCTGGAAGAATATGCACCAAAATACTATCTCAGACTATTGGGATTTTAAGAAATTCATTTTTCTTTTGTAAGTCTCTCTATTCTTTCTAATTTTTCTGCAATAATATGCTTTACATTTTTGTAAAGCATATTATTGCAGAATAATTACATTTTTATTTGTAAAAATGTAATTATTTTTAAAATTCAGCAGAAAGTTTAGAAATCAAATCTTTCTTCTATACACAATACAAACAACTACACTGTGTATGTGGCTATAAAATGCCTTGACTATAAATCATTACAGGAAAAATATTATTTTAGGCCAGGCACTGTGGCGCAGCTAGCTGTAGGCCCAGCTCTAGGGAGGCCGAAGTGGTAGGATTGCTTAAGCCCAGGGGTTCGAGTCCAGCTTGGGCAACATATTGAGACCCCCATCTCTATAAAAAATAATAATAAATATTATCGTGTTTTGTGAATAAGAAAGAAAGTCAATTCTCATGGATCAATCACAACAATGTTTGTTTGCTACACTAATTCCTTTAGGCCAATGTTTTTGGGATTCCTCTTCTGCCAAATGTCAACATCAGTTCCATGAAAGAAAATTCATTTTAATATCAGAAAGTATTCTAATATGGGAAGGTTGGAATATGTAAGTTTGGTACATTTCAAAACTACATATAAACTTTTAAATCTAGTAATAACTCTTGAAGAATTGAACTTTAATACTCAGCTTAATGCTGTAGCTTAAAATCCAGTTGTGGGTTAAGTTTAAGCTACCATGAAATTACCAAGTGTCACTAAGATAATTATTTCAGTGATGTATTACAATAAGCTTTGCATTTGGCAATTTACTTACCCAAAATTCCAATTTCTAAGCCTTTAAGTTTTTCTTTAATATATTCATAGATGTCATCTTTGGTAAAATCTGCTTGTATGATCTTCACGCTATTTCCTGTAGTCCACTCTGCAGTGGAAACAACAGGTTTTTTTTAACAAACAGGGGTCCAAATCCCGCCCTATCCATGAAGTTCCCCCAGTGCTCTTGCACTACCTGAACAGACACTTAAGAGGACAACCCATTGCCTCCATTAGAACTATTAATAAGAAACAGCCCTGAGCAAATGCTGGGAGGTGCTAAGAGATTTGTGAATGATGGTTTCTATGTGTTTCTAAGAGTCACCTCAGTGACAGGCATGTGCATTAAAATAAATTCAGTGCAGTGGTTCTCAAAGTGGGCTCCACAGCCACAGCATCTGCATCACTGGGAAACTTGTTAGAAATACACATTCTCAGCTTCCCGCCCAGAGCTACTGAATTATTAGTAGAAATGCTGGAGGTAGGGCCCACCTAGTGATCTGCTTTAACGTGTTTCCTGGTGACTCTGTGGTATTTGCTCAAGTTTAAGAGCCCTGGACTAATGGCTGTAAAAGCAAGGTCTGATGCAGCCTCTGCTCAGCGTCAGTCCCCTCCACAAAGACACTGCCACCCTTTGTCTTTTCCAACATTGTAGCATGCATAAAGCATTCATATACACAATATCTTGTGCTAATCCTCCCTGCAGCCTTGTGAAGTAGATATTGTTGTTCCCATATTCCAGACAAGAAACCTAAGGTTCAGAGAAGCTAAGTAACTTGCTCAAGGGCATCCACACTCTGTTCACTCCAAGTTCGACGTTCTTTCCGCTACTCTGGGTTAACTTGCCTTGTGCAGGAGTTTTCAGACAGATATGAAAGCCGCAAGCAGTTTACAAACTGCTCAGTGAACTGCTTTAGCTTTGGAGTTAGACCCAACATTTCTGGGTCAAGCAATCTTGAAGCATAGTTTGAGGATGGGGAATGCTTTCAAAGACACTACTTGCTTTTCAGAAAGATGATGAGCACATTTTAGCATTGTAAGGAAAACACTGAAGAATGTCTGGGTCCTACTCAAAGTTATTTCTAGTATCCAGACAGAATAAAAGCAGAATTCACTGGTGCAAGGGCACTGATCTCCATGGTGTGTCTGCACTGCCTCACACCTCCCACATCTGTCTCCTGGCCCACCTCTCTCCCAGGGAAACAAGGCCGACCCCAGACAGCCCACCATGGTCTTCATGAGTCTTCATAATTGGAGACTCATCCCTTTGAATTAAGGAGTTTACTAATTATTAAATTAATAATTATTAAAATTCAAATGCCCCCCCAAATTTTTATAATCATTATTAACTAAGAACATTTCAGAATACATCATCATCATAATAAAACATTATGATATAAAACCTGCCTCTTAGGGTTGCACAGTAGACAACCTTCACAACCACACATGGCAACCCTGGATGAAATCATTTTTTAAAATCTAACAACCACCAGTAAGCATGGTCTTTCATTCTCCTGCAAGGAGCAGAGCAGAGGACGTGAAGTCCCAAACACAGATCCTGCTTTGGAAGGCAGTGGCAGAAGCAACCAGACAGCCGGGGCCTCCAGATGAGCAGGGATGATTCTAGGGATGAAGGCACCAGGCCAAAGGAGAAAGTGAACCTATTTGTGCCCGAGTCTGTCCCTGCTTCACCCAGCCCACAGAACCAGTGGGGAGCTAAAGCCAACACTTTAAATCCCCCCTTCACTTTGTGAACTGGGCCCCCCACAGGAAGGTAGGCACCTCAGGCTCTGAGAGCAGATGTGGGCATGTTGCCAATAGGCAGGGCCAGGGCAGGCTCGGCTGGTGGGCTCCACAAATACCTCCCTTATTTGGGGGGGGGGGTCACTCACCAATCTCTGTGGCAATGGCCTGTAGTTTTTCCAGCGTCCGGCTGATAAGCACAAGGTTGAAACCATGTTTAGCTAGCTGGGGGTGGGAGTAGGAAAACCAAAAAAGACAAAGATAATGAGCAGACAAGGGAGGCTGGCTTTAAAGGTGACTTGGTCTCAAGGTGACATGCTTATTGCAGGTAGAAGTGCTTGCTTCACCTGGGTTTAAATGCGCAGAATGTTTAAATGCAACAGAGGTTTCTGGGCTATGAACAAAACAGCCACAATGGGCCAAGCCAAATGTCCCATCGTCACAGCAGTTTACACTAGTGTGTTTATTATGTGCCAGGAACCAGCCTATGTGCTTTTCTCATACAGGCCCACGGTCTGAAAGCTGCTTATCTGAGATTCGTGGGGTCAGCTGTGTGTCCGAATTCAAAACGTTGGAGATTTTATACTATATATTATGTAATAAAGTCCCGGGCCGCACCCCGTAATAAAAACAGCATTTCTGCAGCAACTTTTGAGTCGCTTGCTATTCACAAGGACGTTCTTGTGATTCAACCTGACCTGACGCCCTTCTCCTTGTCGCATTCGCAGCAGGAAAGGAAACGGAATCGGGAGCACCGGGGAAAGAGCTGGATGCTCCCTGACACCAACAGGGCGACTCTCTGCCGAGTGGGCAAGGCATAGACTCATGAGGGCTGAGTGGCAGCATGGGAGAGATTCCACGGGGGACACATAAACGTGGTGTGCTAGGGGTAGGTGGGGTGGTGTCCACAGACAGCCAGAGACTTTTCTACACCTAAAAATGCTATTGAGGAGAAAAGTTAGAGCTTTTTCTGAAAGACAAAAAGGAAAAAACCAACATTGATTTAAATAGAGACTAATGACTTTTGAGTTAGTGACAAAGGCCCCAGTTTATTGAAACCTTTCTCTGTGGTGTTAAATGATTTATACAGCTATTTTTTTTAGTTGTGGTAAAATACACATAACATAAAATTTACCATCGCAACCAAAATATGGAATGCTTTACAAATCGTGTGTCATCTTGAGGGTCCATGCTAACTAGCCTCTGTATTTTCCCAAACTTAGCATATGTGCTGCAGAAGCAAACAGAATGCTATTAAGAAGAAATTCTGTATTTTAGAAAACACAGAAGATGCTGCATTATGGGCTATATTATATAGTTTCCAATAGCCAATAATTCACTCTTCAGGCCCCTGGGCTCTGGATCACCCAAGGAGATGTCAAAAAACACCAATTCCCACGAAAACCATCCAAGTAAAAATCTCTGGGATTGAAGCCTCAGCACTTACATCTTTTTCTATTTTAATTTATTAAATTATACTAGAAAATGCACAAACACATTCACATTGTAAAGAGTCAACCAATACCAAGGAGAAAATGTCCCCATGCCCCTTCAAGTCCATTTCCCCACCCACTGGGCTCCCTCTGCCTCTGCTTTGTTCTGGCTCCTTCCCTAGCTTTTCCTGCACTTCTATGCATAGATGGGTATAGATAGAAATAAATGTTTATTTTGTGGGGCTTATTTCTTTTTATCCTACATAAATGACATTCTAAGTAGTGTCCTGCAATATTCTTTTAAACTTGATGTATCTTATCTCTAAGAATCATATCTATTTCCACCTAAGTCCATGAAGAACCTCTTGATTCTCTTTTATTGCTTCATAGTGTTCTACAGTTCACCATTGGGCAAGCATTTAGGTTGTTCCCAAGTTTTCCTACTGCCAATATTGCTAGAGTGAAAACCCTTCTATATAGTTTTTTTGTATATATGAGTAAATTAATTCCTAGAGTAGATAGACAAGAAGAAGTGGAATTTCTGTGTCAAAGGGTGCATGCTTTTACATTTTAATAGTATAGTCAAATTGCCCTCCTTTAAAACTGTACCATCAAATATATTATACAATTATAGCCATTTTTCCACACTCTCGCCAATATTTGATATTAGCAACCTTTTTCAACCTGATGATTTTTCTCACCTGACAGTATCCCTTTTCTGTTTTAATTTGCATTTCTTCAATTATCAGTAGAGCTGAGCATCTTTTCCAGTGTGTATGTGTGAATTACCAGTACATACTCTTTGCCCATTGTTCTACTGGGTTATTTATTAATATCATTTTTGTATAAAATAGTTGTTTATATATTCTGGGTATTCATTATTGCCAATTATATATGTAGCAAGTATCTTGTCTTTTGTTTATGGTGTCCTGCCATACATTATATGTTAATTTTAATGTTATCAAATTTGTGAATATTTTCCTTATGGTCTTATATTTCCTTTATGATTTTCTCTAACTCTAAGGACATACATTTTTATATAACCTTTTATAATTTATTTTTTGTTCATTTTTGAGAATAGTATGAGGTTGAAATCATCTAGCACTTTTTTTCAAAATGAGTGTCTAAATGTCTCAACATTTTTCAATTTGTTCATTTTTTCTTAATTTGAAATATGAACTTAGTCTTTTGCTAAATTCTCATGTATACATGGGGCTGTTTCTGATTTATCTGTTCTGTTCCACTGACCTATTTGTTAATATTTGTGCCAGGGCCACTTCTGATTCAATCATAATCTTACGGTAGTCTTTGGTATCTGATGTCTGATAGAGGAAGTCCTCACCATTTCTTATTCCCTTTCAAAATGTCTTTATTTTCTTTGTTCAATCTTCTAAATACATGATGAAGTTGCCTAATCAAGTATTATGTTGAAGTGAGAGATATTTAAGGAAAAGCTTATATCTTTGCAGTGATCAGTTGTCCCATCCATAAATATGGTATCCATTTCTTCATATCTCAGATGTCCATTTAAAACTTTCAGAAATTTCTTCATGTAAATCTTAGGCATTTCTTGTTAGGTTTGCATTAGTTAGGTTAACATTTAGCTGCTGTAACAAATAACTCCATAATTTCAGTGGCTTAACACAAAGGAAATTTGTTTTTGTCTTATATGACAGACTCTATTCCACATAGCTATTCAGGCTCCAAGGCTGAGGGAGACTTTTTTATCTTTAACACTAGGTTTCTAAGATCTCCCTGGGCTTGGATTAAGAGCAGGTGGAGAAGATACATCCCTCTCTTAATCACTTAGACCAAGTGACACACATCGTTTCTGCTTGACTTCATCTGCAAAATGAGTCACATGGCCCCATGTAGATGTTAGGGAATCTGGGAAGTGCCCTGGCTGGGCAGCCACTTACCAGCCTCAACTCTACACCGTGAAAGAAAGAGTAGGCATTTGGGTGGGCACTTAGTCATTCCTACCAACAGTACCTTACATTTCTTCATTGCCATCATGACCTGATTTATTTGGACAGAAGAAGCTCAAGAATTAAATACTAGGCTCAGTTCCTGTTTCCACCACTTCTACAGGTCTGCACAAGTTAATTGTTCTGATGATCAGACTTCAAAAACACATTGAAAAGTGTGTGGCACAGAATCTGTCACATAGGAAGCACCCAATAGTATCAGCTATTTTTTCTATATATTCTAATTTGTTATTATTCGTGCTTAGGAGATATTGATCCAGCCACCTAGCTGAGTTCTTTCCATTTATTCTATCAGTTTGTTCATCAATGTTGGGCTTTTCACTATAGATAATAGTATTTTCTACAAAGAGTACCACTTTGTTCCTATTTTTCCAATATTTGCGTATTTTTGGCCTCATTATCTTGGCTAACACCTCCTACACAATGTTAAGCAGTTGTGGTAATAGCAAACATATTTGTCTTGTTCCTTACCATCATGAAGCATGACGTTTCCTGTCATTTATGATAGATATCTTTTATCAATTTAAGAATATTTTCATCTTTTCCTTTTTCCCAATTGACATTTTAAAAATTTATTTATTTATTTACTTTTGAGACAGGGTCTTGCTATGTTGCTCAGGTTGGAGTGCAGTGGCATGATCACAGCTCATTCCAACCTCAAACTCCTGGGCTCAAAGGATCCTCCTGCCTTAACCTCCGAAGTAGCTGGGACTACAGGTACACACCACCCTGCCCAGCTAATATTTAAATTTTTTTGTAGAGATGAGTTCTCACTATACTTTCCAGGCTGGTCTTGAACTCCTGGCCTCAAGTGATCCTCCCACCTTGGCTTCCCAGAGTGTGTGATTACATGTGTGAGTCACCGGACTGGGTCTACTTTTTTTTTTTTTTAATAAACTGCTGGATTCAGTTTGCAAATATTTAACTTGGATCATAATTCTCTGATGCTAACTTTGTCCTATTTTGGTATTATAGCCAAGCTAATCTGTCTAAACAGTTTATGAAATATGTAGGGTGATCAACTTATCTCAGGATTATCTCAATTTTAAAACTAAAAGTCTCACATCCCAGGAACCCTCCAGGCCCAGGAAAATCAAGATGGTTGATCATCCTGGAAACATAGGGTTTTTTCTTATTCCTTGAAGATTTGGTAATATTTACTTATAAAAATACATGGGCATTTTATTTAGGTGTAGCTCTTCCTAACTGCCTTTTCCATTTCTTCTGTGACTAATCTCTTGATGCTTTTCTACTTCTTGGGCCAATGTTGATCATTTGATTTCCACAGAAAATTCTTTACTTTGTAGAGATTTTCAAAAGTACTTTGTACTTTATTGGTACAAAGATTTAAAGAGTATTTCCTTTCTCCTTTTTTTTCTTCTTTTTTAAAAAAATTTCTTTATAACTAGGTTGCTAAAGTTGTTCCTTCTCTTAATTTAAGATTTTGCAAAGATTTGTCTACTGTTTTGGACTTTTTAAAGAGTCAGTTTTGGGTGATCAGTTTATTTTAAACTGATCGATTCAGTTTATTCCTGCGTTTTCTATATCTTCAGTTTTTGCTCTGCTCTATTAATTAATTTCCTCCTGTATCTCTTTTGGATTCTTTCCCTTTTCTAGAATTTCTTAGAAGCTAAGACTATTTACAGTCTTTCTTATTTTCAAGTAGATGCATTTAAAGCCAAAAACTTTCATCTGCATAGCACCTTGGCCACAATTCACAAGAGTGTCCGTTTTCATTTATTCTTTAATCTTAGGACTATACTGAAGAATAATTTTCAATATAGATAGGGAGGTAGATATAGCT